CAAAAGCATTGACATATATTTTTCCTTCCTACGATAGGCCGACGGGCAGGGCAGAGATAGATTTTGCGAGCCCTGAATTTGATCAATTAACTTATCCCCACTAACTGCATGTTTTTGGACTGTGGGAGGAAGCAAACACGGGGAGAACATGTAAACTCCACACAGAAAGACCCCTGATGGTGGAATTGAACTGTTGCATGCATGCGTGTATGCAAGTGTGTGTGTGTGTGTGTGTGTGTGTGTGTGTGTGTGTCTGTGTGTGTGCGTCTGACCTGAGAGTTGAGCAGCTGGGCGCGTTGAATCTGCGACAGCACAGGACCGACTCTGGGGGGGAACGGGCCGCGGCACAGAGGAGAGTTCTGACAACACACAAAAAGTGACGTCAGAATAAAACACGGTGATGAGGTCACATGACCGCGCTGTTTGTGAGGAAAACTACAATCAGAGCAGCCTGAAGCTGTAAATATGATTCCCGCCTTTATAAACAGACGGGTCCTTCCTGGACCTTTGTGGGTGTGACTACACACAGCAGCTCAGCCGTCCACACAGTCTCAGGTTCGAGTATTTTCATCCACAGCCCTGGTGGTGACCGAGAGGCTCCGCCTCCGCAGGTTCACCTACAGAAACCTGCTGATGTCATCCTGATTAAGCTACAATACAAAGTGCAATCATTTCATTGTGATTCTTTGTTTTCATAATCACTAAAAGACCAAATCACACAGCTCCACCCTGCAGCTGAACCACCTGATCCAGGTGCTGGTGGAGGTCACCACACAATCAGCTGCTGTTAGCACTTTTATTGTTCCACGGTGCGTAAATGAAAACCACATGATGTAAAATCATCAGCAGTATGATTCCTGTCAAAAATAAGCCTGTGATGTCTTTTCTATTTGGCCTGTAAACACACTGCAGCGCACCATCCTGACGGGGCAGCGGGTGGAGAGGAAACACTCACTGCAATGTTGAGGAGGGTGTTGGGTGACAGACGCTCGGGGAAAGGGGCGGGGTATCTGTGCTGGACCGGGGCTCTCACGTGGACCGCTGTGGGATGGTGGATCTACACAAACACACACAGACAGAGGGCGGGGTTAACAGAGACGGAGCCGTTACACGCAGCCGGACGCCTAAAAGCACATCTCGGCGCCACGGCAACGTTTAAATCCTGCGACACAAACACGTGTTCGCAGCAGGGAGGGACTTCCTGTTTCTGACCTGGTGATTCAGCGCGTGGCTCATCGGCTGTTTGGGTGGAGTCCCGATTGGCACCGCCCTCACCGGAGGGGAGCCAATCACCGGGGAAGAAGAGCGTGGAGGAGGAGCCCTCTCTGACAGATCCTCATCGTTCCTGCCCTGAGGAGCTCGTTTGGGATGGCCCACCTCTTTGATTATCGACATGAGTGGATTATCCTGAAGAAGAAATATG